CAAGCGATAAACGATCTGAATTTAGAGGTTGTACATTCTGAATTTTCAAAATTGAACTTCTAAAAAAATCGATTTTGCTAAAATGTATTTTAATTGAAGAAAGTTAAAATAGTGAAAATTTCAGAACGCTAAAACTCTAAAATTACAAAATCCAACTGGCTGATTTTAAAACCTACAAAAATAACATTGGCCGAATTTTCCGCGGAAAATGCTACGACAGTTAAACTACAAATTACGATGTTAAACTAATTTTTTGAAAAATATATTAATTTGCATAGCAGTTTGAATTTTCGTCCGGGCAAAATCTGCAAAAATACGAACAAAACGGCGAAAAATCCGAAACTCGTGGAAACCTGCAAGGCGTGCGGCTCTATTTGTGGAGTTGTTGTGTTGTTGGCGTTCGGCACGTCGGCCGGCTGGGACGGGTGCCCTCAAAAAATACTTATTTTGCGGGAAGCCACAGGGGGAGGGAGCAGAAAGTGCAACCCCTCTTTTTCTCTGGGTTGTTTGTCTTCTACCAATCTATCTGTCCGGCGGCCTTTTTTGTTGTTGTGTCTGCCCTCTTTCCGGCGCGGCAATTCTGCCCTTTTGCCCTCTGCTGCTGCAAGTGGCCGAACATCTACTCCCGCACGGCGAGGAACAACAAATGGCGAGAGAGAGGGAGAGAGGGGGAGAAGGTGTGTGAGAGAGCCAGAGAGAGAGGGAGAGTGAGAGAGAGAGAGAGAGTGAGTGAGAGAGAGAATGAGTGCAACGATGCAGCTAGAAGAGTTCTTTGCCCTGGATGTTTATCGTTTTGTCCAGAAAGAAGCCCCTCACATGGGCATCAACTGAGGGCAGGAATCCCCTAAACACCTCGTGGAGAGAAATGGACTTTGGAATGAGGGGGAATTCGATGAGCACCAGAGAATTTCATCTCAATTTTTCAAATTGAGAAAATGACTTGAGGATGAGACGATCTAATAAAAAAAAACGAAAATTACTTTATACAGCGTGATCAGGTTCAATCGCTTTGAAGTTTTGAACAGAGATGCGCAAAGGTATTTTAAATGCTCACAGAAACTTTCAGCGCGCCTTCTACAGTAGTTTTCTAGTCATATCAACCTTATTTTGCGGTTTTAACCTGGACTTTGCCGGAAATGGCCCTCGGAATGTATGGAGAAAATGCAGTGCTGAACCTCCGACCTTTTAAGTTCGTTAAATGGGCTTGGAAATAGGAAATTTGGCATTGAAAAGCATACTCGACTACGATTTTAGGAGTGAATATGGCTTTCGAGCAAGAAAGAGCCGCAATGAAGCGAATGTTTTAGAAAAACAGCATTTTTGACACGATTAACTCGAAAACTACGGTAGCGATCGGCTGAAAGTTTCTGTGAAGGTTTTAAATACCTTTGTGCGCTTTTGATTATAATTTCAAGTGTCGAACGGAAATAGCGAAATCGAAACTGAGCACGGCAAAAAAATGGGAAAATGTTGAATTTGAGTGTTCGTTCGTGGCTTTGAATGCGTACTAGCTTTCCATTTTCCGGTTAAAATTTTGGCTTCAATATTTTTACATGCCAGTTCGCCATTTATGTCATCCACCCACCCGTTTTCTTTATAGACCGCCGGTTTAGCATGAATTTTTGGAGGGCTGAATGGTGTATTTGGACAGCTTGACATCGTCAACTCCCCCGTAGAACCACCCACTTTGTTATACATCGCTTGCATTAGCTCAAAAAAATCGTCTATTTGCCCTTCAAATTTATATCGAAAAATGTCGAGATTTATATTGTCGTCCAGAAGGGCTTCACTATTATTTTTAACACTATACGTCGTGGTTTTGACGTTGTTTCAGGCAAGATTTTGTGCTTTTTATTAATCATACCTGTCTTTTTTCATTTGTCGATATCCTGCATTCCGAAAAGGCCAGCTAGCAGAGAACCTTGAGGAATTTTTCTAGCGTTAGCACAAAACCTTAAAAACGCATTCAATTTGTTTAAATTAAAAAAATTTGATGCCGCAAGCTAGCAGAGACTTTTTGGGAATCCCTGCGACCGGAAATCTGGTTTTACCGTTTTAGGAAATTTATTGGGAAACCTAACGTTTGGGTAATTTTTTAGGTTTTTTGATTGTTTTTAGCCTTTTAGAATAGCATAAATTACATAAATATGCCATGGCAGGCTGGCAGAGATTCTTTAGGAAATCCTACTAACAATGCTATTTTTTAGATCTACCGTACCCCAGCTGGCCCAAAATTATCGTACCCAGACACTAATGGGACGGCCGACGAAATCAGATCCGGTTTCTGCATCCACTATGATTTTGTGAGGGCCCGTTTCAGGTGTCGCTGTCCCTTTAAACTCTATAAAATGCTTCTGAGTCTTAGTTTCTCGAATTCTGAAGTCCCAGTCTCACTTTGCAGCCACGCCACAACAAATTATTTGCCGGCAATTGCTCGCCAGGTTGGTGATTGACATTCGATTATGCAATGTAATTCCGAATACCGTAATATTGTTTGTTTTTTTTATTTTTTCTGTTTTATATTTTTAAACTGACTGTCAGATAGCTGAGTGGCGGGCCCCGATTTCCGTTAGCCTGCTTATTGGCCCGGAATCGAGAGAAGCACTGTATGAAATCCGGAGGGCCCATGTTTGCGATCAAGATTTTGGCGAAATGGTCGGGTTTTAATAATTATTTTGTGGTTTGGAGTAGTAATTTTTGCAAACTGACCGCCTGGTTTGCCATATGCACTGCTCAGAAAATTTCTACAACAACAAATTTTCAAAAAATATGGATTCTTGAGGTGTCGATCCACATTGTCTATTCTACCTCGCTACTTGGCACTTGTTCAAAACTCCCCGATTTTGAGGACAAATTATTCGATTGTAGACAGTTTAATAGTAAGTTTAACACTACAATAAAGGAACTGGGAAGTGCGATAATCGACCCCCCGTGGACTGGGCCTAGACAACTACGCGAAACACCAAATCACGGGTTTTTATTCGATCCGTGTTTCACCTTGTGAATTCAATTAATTCTGTTTCTGAAGCGAAAAAGAATTAAATTTTGAATATGTATTTGAAATGCCTTTCTTTAGTTTCGAATGCATTTTCCTATTTCCGCCCACCATTTGGCATCTACCCAATAAATGTGATGCGAAATGTCGCGAGAATTGGATCACTTACTGAGCTCCAATTTTGTAGGTTCATTAATTTTAACTTTATGTTCCCATTTTCAATTCTGGCAAACCGCCCCCCAGTTAAAAAATGCCTATTTTAGTAGCTGACATCGAGATGACGTTCTCACGGAATTTTGAAGCCCAGATTCGGCCTGTGGTCAATGAATGGATGATGCAGGGGAATAAAACTGTTTTTATTATCAGGTAACGCGAGCATTTTACCAGAAAAACTAAAATAATTGAGACGTTTTGAAGCTACCGTATACCCAGATCCGCATATTCCAAAAGACATTCTGGCATTGAGAGCTCGATTTCGGCAGAAAACGTATGGTTTTGTGGTTTGTAGTACAGAAAAACTATTCAAAAACTAGTTTTATTTAAAAAGCTGGAATTTGTCTTTTAGTGCCACTTTCTTCCACCGTTTCTCTTTCCCCGAGGGTCATTTTATCGAGGAACAGGGCGAATGGGTCAATGCTTCCATCGAAACCCCGGAAATCGCGGTGAAACCGCATCGATATAGGTAGGCAAAATGTTCAAGTTTTGCGTATTTGTATTGTTTATGTAGCCATTTTCTAATTTCTCTAGGTTTCTTTTTTTTAACAACCCTTAAAGAGGTTTCTTTTTTATTTTGGAGGGGGGTTGTTTTAAAAAATTTTATTTTTACCCACCTTGGGTTTATATTTTTTTTAAGAGGCGGCTTCTGGGAACCGCAGCCCCTTCTCCATAAATCCGCACCGTTATGCCATGAAAATGTGCCGACACGGTTGAGGGATATGCAATATTGCGTGGGTTTTATCGGCTTTAAAGGAACTTAGCAAATGCCAGAATCGACCCTTTCCATCGAAGCCTGGGCCTAGACAGCTACGCACGCCTAGACCATCTAACCGGGATAAGCGTAAAAACCAGCTTGAGCTGGATGCGTGCCGTCGGATCGCGAATGAAGGGTCGATCTCGCGCAACAAGTTTTTCTTTCAGATCTACTCCCTCTGCCGAGCGGGCTATCAATTCGCAGTCCCAACTCATGTTTTTAATGTACATCCTGGAATAAGGAACACAACTTCACCACTTGATACGGCAATTCGGAATCATCAGAAACCACTAGGGTAGGTTGGGGCATCTCGCCTCACTGTTGCTCTCTCTCTCTCTCTCTCTCTCTCTCTTTCGCTCGCTGTCTCTCTGGACTAAACTGTTACCGTTAATTTCAAATCGTAATCATCATTCCCTTTCAGCCCAGCCAGCGCCGAAGGTTTCCAAAAAGCGATGGACCTACAGTACCCAGATACCGGCAATTTATGCGGATCATTCTTGACACCATTCCACTTGGGACCCAGATCTGGGCCCCCGCCACAAATTGGAGGAAATTGGGGACCTTCAATTTAACGACATATGATCTTTGGAAAGGTTAGCTGCTCAAAACAGATCATTTTTGTTCTCAATTCTTGGAAGGATGCAAAACTATGCCTAGGAATTTCAGCAAAAAGAATATTTAGGCAGCGAAGTCTACTTATCGTTCAACTGGCAAAACACTCTTCTTGGAAGCACGCTACCGTCATTTTGACGATAGCGTCTTTTCACATAGCAACTGTTTTTATTGATGACTCACTCGGCTACATTATTCATGACTTTTACTCTCAAATTACCTTACGATAAGAGTCATGAGCTTCGAATGCGAAACTCACAAAAGAGAGAATAAACAACCTGCTTGCGGCCAGAATTTTAGTCGAGGGAGCATAGAACAGGAAAAAGAGTCGCGGAGACGCTAATTGTCAGGGGCACCAACAATAAGTATTTGCCTAGGTGGCGGCACCCATACAAACCATTTATTGTCGGTAAAACTTTCTCAGCGTTGAAGGTGCATTGCAACTTGCAGCATAAACGAACCCAGTTGTAGGACCTAAATCAGTTACATTAAAATCAGCATTAGATTTTGCATATCAACGCCAGTTTTCTTTTGCTGCGGATCACCCTGGTTTTCTGGTTTTCCGAACGGGAAAAATGTTTTCAGAAAGGGTTTTTAGAAACAAATCATTTTGTAAAATTGGGATGACGGCTTACATCGGTCAACCGGATTTGTGTTTCCTGGGTACTGGTGTTCCCTTGAGTGTTAATTTTCAAACGATTAGCCAGCGTCATCACAGCGAGACATTCCGTGTCCTAAACAACCAACAGTTTTTCGGGTCGTTCCTGAGAAGCAACCCGTAGTTGAACAAGACTGAAGTCCTCAAACTGCCTGGTAAGTCGAGCGCGCAGCTGCTGCATTGTTAATCTGCCTTCGCATTCCGCGTGGAGAATTTCTGCCTCGGATTTGATCAGCTCTTGCCCTCGTCCTTCGATCGTTTGCCGGCGCAACTGTGGTAGCAGCTGCGTTGCGGCATCCGTGGAGTTTAGATCGGAAAAAACCTAAAACATGCTATCATGAACGCCAACTGACCTTTTTCAAAGTCTGCGAATATTCATCAGTCAATTGTCGAAGAATCCTCGACATTCGATGTGAGACCTGTTGCTCCAAATAATCCGCCAAACTCCTGCTCAGTGCATCCTAACAACGTATTTACACGCTAAATGCCCCAACCTCGCATTTTTTTCGCAGCACCTCCAGGTTGCGGATTACCAACTCATCTTCGGCATAGGGCGCAGTTTCTAAGCCATCAAAAGTTGGGCGGAATCGCTATGCATACCGATTTGATAGATCTCAACGGCAATCTTCTTGCATCCATCATGGGCTTGACGCGGGGTAGCCAAACCCTCCAATTTTTGGTTCTGCAAATCACTAACACGTTTATCCCAATCAATATATCCCACAATGGAATTTTTTTAATGCTGTAACTTTTCACTTACCCCCATCTCGGCCTCATAGAGGTTTAATCCCTGATTCAAAGCGTCCGAGGACAATTTCTCGATTAGCCTCGTCTTCAGAGATGTATCAGACCCTAAATAACAACAATCCTGACTATTAACCCCGTAGCTACAGTCATTCTCGAGTTATGATGAAAATACTGCTTTTCCCGGAATTCTGAACAGTTTTTCCGGCTATCTTTTTGGACTTTGCCTCGATTTGCATCGACTTCCGGCTGTGAATCCCTAATTTCGCTTAAGAACCTGGGTAATTTTGCGTTGTAAAATCGCTTAAATCAAAGCATATTTAATGAATTTTATGCTGGAAAAAATTTCTTAAGGTAAAGAAGGCCTACCGGATCATTTTCACTTAATGTTTAGGGGGTCTAATTCCACGAAAACCCTATGAAAAATGGAAAATAAAGTTTGTTTTTGCTATAACTTGAGAACCACTATAGCTACAGGGCTAAAAGTCAGGATTGTTGTTATTTAGGGTCTGATACACCTCTGGTCCAAAAGGGCGCAGAGATTATGGCCAGGATTTTTCTGGCCAGGATTTTTCGACATCTGCTCGGACTTGGGAACTGCCCTGCGGGGTCAGCAATGCATTTTTCGGACATTAATGGAAGAATCGGACAAATTAAAAGAATAATGCTTTAGTTTTTAATTAACCGTAACGTATCATTTTACAAATGGAATCAATCATAAAGTCTCTTGGTGGGGGCGAAAAATATGAAAAGCGTAGGTCGGCGTGCGTAGATATTGTACTTTAGTTTCCCCGCCTTTTTTGGGTAACTTTGAAAGCAATTGTTTTCAAATCATAATAAATAGAATAGTGCAATTCTTTTTGCATTGATGCGAAAATGGGTCGCATTTAACTTGTCCCGGGCCAGTGGGCCTACTATATCATAAAAATGACGGGAATAGAAGGCGTTGCGAGACAGCTACGAAAACAAAAAACCATAATAATTATAATAATAAATTATCGCTAATAGGTTTTATTACAATCTGCGTATCTGGAAACTATCTATGACCAAACAAAAGCTGGGAGGGGGGTGTTGCACCGGAAATAGTGTAATACGCAACCCTTTGTTTTCGGTTTTTGAAATCTTGCTGTTTTATTTGCATAATGGAGTTTTGCTTTACTTTAGAGAACTGATCGAAGCAGGAAGCCTTTTGGCCCAATTGCCAGTTTCTTTTTGTGGTTTTCGGATATTCACGCGCTTTTTACTATAAAATATGCATTTAGAAGCGTAAAACTTTATTGAGTGACTTTTTAGAAATACAACCGTTGTAGTTTTAGTTCTCAAATTGGTGAGAAAAGTCTTCCATTAATGCCCTGATAGCCTATCATTGACAGTTCGAGGGCACTTCCCGGGCGACGGACGCAAGGCCAAGATTTCCCTGGCAGCTGCCCTGCCCCGGCGGCAGCAGATGTTTCAGCACGGGGAGCTCGCCGGGGATGCACATCTGCATGCTCCGGCGAAATTCTAACCGGGCATTAATGGACTCCCATGATCCACAGCACTGTTATCATGTTTGCTTATCATGTTCACAAAAGTAGCCTTCGGCGATATACTATCATTACCACCCATCTGTGTTAAATGTTATTATTTGCATTAATTAGTTCATGTGCAGTTTTTATTTCATTTACCTCTTTTCATCCTAAAATTGTTTTACTAATCCTAAAATTTGCAGACATGTATGGCTCGGTACCTCCGCTGACGGCTTCAGTACGAGGCAAACACCCGGTTTTTATATATACTGACCGCGGCGGCCACTCCTACACCTATATCAGGAAGGTGGCGAGTGCAAAGATGATCGTCATGGTGTAAGTCACAACTTAAGCGCCAAGAAAAACACATTTAGGTGCTCGAGCTGCAAAGAGACTGTCGCAAATGATCGCCGCAACGGAGCGCAAATACGGAAGGAAGGGACTTTAAAGGTTTCCCTGGATCAACGAACTTTTTTCTCCGACCCGGAAGCGGTTGCGCACGTTTGTGGACAGAATAGGGTAGGTACTAGAGCTTTAATTTTAATCATAAAGAGTTAGTTGTAAAATCAGTGCTTTTCAGGCTAGAGTCGAAGTGCTCAAAAAAGCGTGTCCATACTCTTTGCGCAGAAAGTGTTGCTACCGAGGGAGATTCTGCTCCTTCCCTAAAGACACTGAAGTCCTACTCCAAACTTTTGGAAAATCCTCAAATTGTTGGTTTAAACGCGGATGAGCTTTCCGAGGTTGGTTTTAGACCATTACGGATTATACAAACCATCTACATTACCGATATAAAATATTCGATTTAGGTTCACTCTGGAATCAACCCGGCTCATCTGAGCAAGGTTTTCTCTCGTGCTTCCCAAAAGGCGCACAAAACAGCAAGCCAACCTGGTGCAATTCTCCCGAGCGATCGAATCTTGCACGGGACGAATATCGATCTGGTTAAGGTGAGTTAAAAGAATTAGACCAGATTATCTTTTTGCATAGATTGATGAGCCCGGTCTCACAGTCTGGGTCAATGACGAGCAAGTCTCAAATGTGCTTGGGCAGAATGTGGATGTGATAGTCGGTGATGGCGTCCACAGTTTCATTCCTATGGAATACTGGCCGTCGACGAAAAAAAGAGGAAATTGCCAGGTGGGTCGCTTTAAATAAGCTTTCGATTCTGTTGCGAAAAGATATAAAATATGAATGTTTTCTAGTTGTACACTCTGATGGCCATAATCGAGGCAGCAGATGTTTCAGCACGGGGAGCTCGCCGGGGATGCACATCTGCATGCACCGGCGAAATTCTAACCGGGCATTAATGGGCACACATGATCTCAATTGAACTTTCAAAAGATATTAAAAAGATTAAAAGAGAGCAATTTATTGCAATACTTTGGATACAAGCAAAATTTTGCTGCACAGAAAATCACAATGATCAAGCCAAAATAAGTGCGAAATAGGAACCAAATACGGCGAAGAATATCACATGCTAAATAAGGGGGAACTATTTAGTATTGGATGGGGTAAATTGAACCATTTGGACAAGGAAATCAGCATAGTCAACTAGAGGGGTATTGGGATTGGCGAGTAAATTTGACAAATGAATAAGGCGTTGCTTTACTTGATCTAGTCGACGTTCACGGTGCCCTCTGATCGTAGCGGCCTTCAACACGGGGTTAGGTCGCGTCAAATTCGCCGCCTCCACGGACCACTTGAAGAAGAGCTCACGGATTCGCTCGTAGAATTTGCCGATTGACGGGATTTGCCCTATAAAGGCCTGTTTTATAAGATTGCTTTTGGTTTCGACTCACCTAGAAGTGACCGCAACGTATTATGAAAAGATTCAGAAAAGTTTGTAGTGCGGTGCCTCAGGCTGTCATGGTGCACGAACATGCTCCTGAATTGGAATAATTTTTCTTTTTCTTTCTTTTTTTACGTTTAGTAAGTATGGTAAGATGGTTTGACTCACCGGAATCTGATCAGCCACGTGTTCCTCAGGTAATCTGCGAATGCGCTAGCAGCAGCATGCAGGGCCGGTTCGGCGTGCGTAACTGAATGAGGAATTGAGAAGACGCCTAGTTGTTCGATTTTGTCTGCTGGTAAGAAGCAGGCGGCACGAACACGTCCAACCCAGTGGGCGACGCGTCGGTCCGCATGGAAGTGCTAAGAAAATCAATATAAGTTAATAAGGAACTAAGCTTAATAAAGAAACTATCTGTTTTTGTTCAATAGAGATAGCGAGAAAGAAACAACAAAAGTTCTTTTCGTTTTAAGTGAATTTAACTTACCTTAAACACTTTCGTTGCCATTCTATTTATGGCTTGACAGAAATGGAAAAGGCAGCCGCGCACTTCCACGTTGAAGACGTGCTCAAGCTCAAGCTTCACAGCTTCCTCGAAATCAATCAGAAACCGGGTGTCTTTTAGTTTCTAAAAAAACCGTTATCTGAGATTTGATAGTCAATCACCAATATAATATTGATGCTTTATGAAATGGCCTACCTGAAGCTTTGCCGGTATGCGTCCCGCGGAATCTTTCAAGCAATTGAAGATCCGCCGATAAGTCTGGCGTTTTTTGCACCGAGTTGCTGCGACCAAAATTGGGTATGAAGCCCCCTCGATTATGGCCATCAGAGTGTACAACTAGAAAACATTCATATTTTATATCTTTTCGCAACAGAATCGAAAGCTTATTTAAAGCGACCCACCTGGCAATTTCCTCTTTTTTTCGTCGACGGCCAGTATTCCATAGGAATGAAACTGTGGACGCCATCACCGACTATCACATCCACATTCTGCCCAAGCACATTTGAGACTTGCTCGTCATTGACCCAGACTGTGAGACCGGGCTCATCAATCTATGCAAAAAGATAATCTGGTCTAATTCTTTTAACTCACCTTAACCAGATCGATATTCGTCCCGTGCAAGATTCGATCGCTCGGGAGAATTGCACCAGGTTGGCTTGCTGTTTTGTGCGCCTTTTGGGAAGCACGAGAGAAAACCTTGCTCAGATGAGCCGGGTTGATTCCAGAGTGAACCTAAATCGAATATTTTATATCGGTAATGTAGATGGTTTGTATAATCCGTAATGGTCTAAAACCAACCTCGGAAAGCTCATCCGCGTTTAAACCAACAATTTGAGGATTTTCCAAAAGTTTGGAGTAGGACTTCAGTGTCTTTAGGGAAGGAGCAGAATCTCCCTCGGTAGCAACACTTTCTGCGCAAAGAGTATGGACACGCTTTTTGAGCACTTCGACTCTAGCCTGAAAAGCACTGATTTTACAACTAACTCTTTATGATTAAAATTAAAGCTCTAGTACCTACCCTATTCTGTCCACAAACGTGCGCAACCGCTTCCGGGTCGGAGAAAAAAGTTCGTTGATCCAGGGAAACCTTTAAAGTCCCTTCCTTCCGTATTTGCGCTCCGTTGCGGCGATCATTTGCGACAGTCTCTTTGCAGCTCGAGCACCTAAATGTGTTTTTCTTGGCGCTTAAGTTGTGACTTACACCATGACGATCATCTTTGCACTCGCCACCTTCCTGATATAGGTGTAGGAGTGGCCGCCGCGGTCAGTATATATAAAAACCGGGTGTTTGCCTCGTACTGAAGCCGTCAGCGGAGGTACCGAGCCATACATGTCTGCAAATTTTAGGATTAGTAAAACAATTTTAGGATGAAAAGAGGTAAATGAAATAAAAACTGCACATGAACTAATTAATGCAAATAATAACATTTAACACAGATGGGTGGTAATGATAGTATATCGCCGAAGGCTACTTTGTGAACATGATAAGCAAACATGATAACAGTGCTGTGGATCATGGGAGTCCATTAATGCCCGGTTAGAATTTCGCCGGAGCATGCAGATGTGCATCCCCGGCGAGCTCCCCGTGCTGAAACATCTGCTGCCGCCGGGGCAGGGCAGCTGCCAGGGAAATCTTGGCCTTGCGTCCGTCGCCCGGGAAGTGCCCTCGAACTGTCAATGATAGGCTATCAGGGCATTAATGGAAGACTTTTCTCACCAATTTGAGAACTAAAACTACAACGGTTGTATTTCTAAAAAGTCACTCAATAAAGTTTTACGCTTCTAAATGCATATTTTATAGTAAAAAGCGCGTGAATATCCGAAAACCACAAAAAGAAACTGGCAATTGGGCCAAAAGGCTTCCTGCTTCGATCAGTTCTCTAAAGTAAAGCAAAACTCCATTATGCAAATAAAACAGCAAGATTTCAAAAACCGAAAACAAAGGGTTGCGTATTACACTATTTCCGGTGCAACACCCCCTCCCAGCTTTTTGTTTGGTCATAGATAGTTTCCAGATACGCAGATTGTAATAAAACCTATTAGCGATAATTTATTATTATAATTATTATGGTTTTTTGTTTTCGTAGCTGTCTCGCAACGCCTTCTATTCCCCGTCATTTTTATGATATAGTAGGCCCACTGGCCCGGGACAAGTTAAATGCGACCCATTTTCGCATCAATGCAAAAAGAATTGCACTATTCTATTTATTATGATTTGAAAACAATTGCTTTCAAAGTTACCCAAAAAAGGCGGGGAAACTAAAGTACAATATCTACGCACGCCGACCTACGCTTTTCATATTTTTCGCCCCCACCAAGAGACTTTATGATTGATTCCATTTGTAAAATGATACGTTACGGTTAATTAAAAACTAAAGCATTATTCTTTTAATTTGTCCGATTCTTCCATTAATGTCCGAAAAATGCATTGCTGACCCCGCAGGGCAGTTCCCAAGTCCGAGCAGATGTCGAAAAATCCTGGCCAGAAAAATCCTGGCCATAATCTCTGCGCCCTTTTGGACCAGAGGTGTATCAGACCCTAAATAACAACAATCCTGACTTTTAGCCCTGTAGCTATAGTGGTTCTCAAGTTATAGCAAAAACAAACTTTATTTTCCATTTTTCATAGGGTTTTCGTGGAATTAGACCCCCCTAAACATTAAGTGAAAATGATCCGGTAGGCCTTCTTTACCTTAAGAAATTTTTTCCAGCATAAAATTCATTAAATATGCTTTGATTTAAGCGATTTTTACAACGCAAAATTACCCAGGTTCTTAAGCGAAATTAGGGATTCACAGCCGGAAGTCGATGCAAATCGAGGCAAAGTCCAAAAAAGATAGCCGGAAAAACTGTTCAGAATTCCGGGAAAAGCAGTATTTTCATCATAACTCGAGAATGACTGTAGCTACGGGGTTAATAGTCAGGATTGTTGTTATTTAGGGTCTGATACATCTCTGGTCCAAATTTGGGACCGATTGGATGTAACCCGGCGAAATGCCAGATGGGTCGTTTTTTTTGGGACACCCTGTATAAAATTTTTAAAAGCCTATTTTGGAAAAAACGCTTCTTCCTCACCTTCATTTACATCAAGTCGATATATGTGGAAAATTTCAGCCCAAACGGACCATGGGAAGGGACTTTTTGACGACTACAAAGGTTTTGCGTACATACACACACATACATACAAACGCAGACCCCCCCTCGAAACGCAATTTAAATCGGCTGTTAAAATTCGAAATTTAACTTTTTTTTTAAATTTTAAAAGCTTATGATATGTAAAAAGTGTCGCCGGTTCCGATGGTGTATTCAGTTTTGCGATCCGATGCGTGGTTCTTTTTTAAATCCGGAAAAGGACCTCAAAAGAGTCGTATGGGGGGGTACCTCAAACCAAAAGGGGTTAGCGGGCTACGCCCGCTAACCCCGATTTCCGCTGACTTTCTTCTCCCCCCTAGGACTCACTCGTATTGCTCAAAATCGAGCAGTTTTACTCTAATTTTTTAGGTTTAATTATTAAGCTACCAGCTGGTTACAGCCGCTGCGCGACTGTAAGCCTGCCTGGCCTTCGGGCTACCCTTCATTTCTTACACCACCACTCCTTCCCTACTTCCCTCAATACGCACGCTAATGGCTACAGATACCTCCCCTAGGTGAAATACCCTTCAAAAACTACGCAGATACCGTACCCTTCAAAAACGAAACAATGACCGACTGGCTAGCTACGTGCCAAATGAAGTAAATAAAATGGCTCCGGTGAAAATTTCAAGTTCGGTGCGCCACGAAACGCGCGCGACCTGGCTCACTATCCCAAAATTGTGCCAAAATCCGCTCCCCATTCGTTTTACTAAGACGCCACCTTTAAGGTTACATCTAATAATTAAAAGAAAGAAAACTTTTTCATAATTTTTTCATCAGTTTGGGGTTTCTGACCAAGCTCTATCCGAATCGGAGGAGACCTAAGCTCTAGCTCCTTTCCCCTTCGAGTATAGTTGGCTTCGGACGGACAGAGGCCGCTACTGGATTCTTATAGTTGATCCCATGTAAACTTGTAATTTATCGGAATTCTGAAGACGCCTTCGGAAACAGAAGGGTCGATTCCCCCATGTGACTGAGAATTGGGGCGGTTTGGCCACGGGAAGGCCCTCAAATCGGGCCTCGAAAGTGACATCCACACACACAGAGATAAACCCCAAAATTATATAAGGTAGGATAAGCCCGCCTTCTATTTTACCGCCGCCCCTCCTTTACTGGCACGACCTCCCTCCGGGTGATTGAAAACTCCGGAGGTTACACTTCGAACTTCCAGAAAATACGATGTTATGGAAGGGAAACGCACCTGTCCCACCATCCCTTCTTCGTTTTCATTGACATTACGAGAAAATGCAAGAAATACCTCCAGGCTAGACAATTCGTGTGCATCCAGCGTTTCGCATTTGGTGTTGAATACCTGGGTGAGATACGACGGTTTTCGATCATCTTTTTACCAGGTGGGAGGCAAGTAGCGTGGCAGCCGAGAAGACAAGTATCGATTCGCCGCCCTCAGCACTCGTATCGAATGTTCCCTGTGTATCAAGCAGCAGAATTGCTACCTGAATCAATGTTAAAGCTGTACATCGGATCACGCTTCTGTGCCAGGTTGAAGGGGCACTTTTCATTAGAACATAAGAGAATCTTGTACTACACAACTGGTCGTCCGGTAAAAGTTTACCTCCTGACCATTCTCCTCGCGTCTTATACACACTTCTGACCAGACCATAATACCCTTTGTATGACCGATTGTTTTATTTTGGAAACATATTTGACCAGGGCCTCTGCAACAAAAGGGTTTGACGAGCGCCTCTCCAAAGTTTTCTGGCTTTTTGAAGGCATACCCGATAATTTCTGTGGGATCGTACGCCCATTCAGCCTCCGATATCGTCAGGTGCTGCAGTGATTTCAAAAGAATATTCTCGAAAAACGTTTTTCCGCCACGAAGCTTACCGACGACCGCCACAATTCCTACCTAA